TCTGTGTGTGTGTGTGTGTGTGTGTGTGTGTGTGTGTGTGTGTGTGTGTGTGTGTGTGTGTGTGTGTGTGTGTGAGGAAAGTGGGGTTAACCATCTCTGCAAACATCTCTGGAGCTACTCCTATGGAGAGAGAGATCTGCTCTTCTTCTGCTGCTGCTCGTTGGACGTGTTCATGTGACTCATGATGTGAGTGTGCGATGTTCGTGTGTGTGGGCGTCCGGAAAAAGACGAGTATGAAGAAGTGTGTGCTTGTTCTGAACATAATGATCTTAGAGCATTTCCGAGTATTGCAGCCACGTTTTGCATGCACTTCACTGAGCGAAACTGAGAGTGTGAGTGTATGGTTATCTCCGTTAACTTTGTGGTTAACTTGGTCGGGGCTGAGCCCTCGTTTTTTAACACAGGAACAGTGCCGTACCCCCTTTCACCGTTCACGGGGTCTGTGAACGAAACCGGTCATGAAGTTCATGGAGTTCACGGCGTAGGAGTTCATGGAGTTCAAAGAGAGCGAGATCAGTTTTTTATTCTTATGGCTGGGGGGGATGTGTTTTTTTTTATAGGAGGGTGGGGGTTATAGGAGGGTAACCCCCCATAATTGTTTCAATTAATTTTTTTTACAAATAATATTTTATTAATTAGAAACGAAAAAAAAAATTACAACCAGCCAAAATAGCATTTTTGTAGGTTATTACGAAGTTTCTATTTTTTTTTTATGTCATCACCCTGTGGGGCTTGAGGTGCCTGTAGCTAGGTGCCGCCCCCCCCACCCCCGAAAAAAAAAAAAAAAAAACCACTCTTTCGTGGTCTGCCCGTTCACCTGTGAACAGGCGCAGGGCCAAATGATCGGCCGTTCACATTCAAGTGATCGGTGCCGGTCACGGTGACGGCGCTGCACAGGAAAGAGACAGCACTCCCGAATTCCAGGGAGTCCAAGCTTCCTCATTGTACTCCCTAATTCCAGGGAGTCCAAGCTTCCACATTGTCTACGTCTCCCAGGACACAGAGGAGGGAGGAATAATCAGCCACAAAAGAGCATCATGGTTTTTCGTCTACCTTTTTTCCCAAGGCAAGCCTGCAATTTGGAAAGGGATTCCCCATTTTTCGCGCCTAATGACCTCTGGGACGGGGGTACTTCGAATATGAACCCCCGGGGACTACTTTCTAAGGTGCCTGATCGCAACCCCGGTCTCCTGTCTATATGGGTACGCCTATTTGACTACTAAGGCTTTTCTAGTCCTTTCTTCGTCCCTAGTCCCTGACTTAAAGTTTGGGAAGGGCATACTCACATGAGGACCAAAAGCCTCAAAAATTTGAGGCATTGGGTACGCCTATTTGGGACTTTAGGTCCTCATGTGGTCACACGGGTGGACTTCATCCAGAAAGGACGAAGAGGCGGCCCTGACATTTGCACCTCCCAGGAACTGCACGTAGTCACACTGCTTACCCCCAAAAATATATACAGTTTTTTTTTTTTTTCTTTTTTCCCAATGCTGAACTAACATTCACCTCTGGTTTCTTCATGCACAAATTGCTTGAACGACCTCACCGAGAGACAAAAAATAATAGAAAGGGTAATTTCAGACCACCTCCGGAGATGGTCTCGAAAAGGGTCTTCCCGCCGCCTGGCGGGCTGCTGACAAAAGGGTCACGAAAAAGTACATTTGAGTAGCAGGCCTCTCTGAAAAATGCCTCAAATTTTGGGATTTAAGGTCATCAGGTCCCTGTATTCTTGGGGGCAAAATTCCAGTTACTTTTCCCTGGCACACATTTTAAAAAAATACGGATTTCACATTTTGTGTTCTCTATCGTCTTGTCTACTCTTCTCTTTTTGTGTCTTTTCTGACTTGGTGTTGAACCCGGTCCCTCTTCTGGGAGATCTTCTCTTCTAGATGATGGTCTCTCTCTGATACAACAGACTCTAGAAAATAGTTTAGAGTCAATTGAGAGTTGTTATACTCCAGAAAACAGCAAAAAACTTGTCGTACTCCAGAAAATAACAAAAACGTCGACCTCACTCCACTTACGCTAGAGTGCGCTACTCTAGACGGACTCTCTAACAATGCTCAAATCAAATGTTGAGTGGCATGATCAAAGCGGATGATTGTAAACTTTGTCCGCCTTCACGCTCTCAAATGAAACAATCCATGGAATCCTTAATTCATCACTTCAAAGTTTAAACCACTGCTACCCTGCCAGCCTAAACTATGGGAGACTGGTAGGGCGATTTTTGGAATGGGCGGCTGACCTACCGGTAGCGGGGACTGCTACGGCCTGTAGAGGGGTCTGAAACTTGCGAGGATGTACAGTGCCTGTAGAAAAGAGAAGTTTTTTTTTTTTACGAAGCGTTTCGAAGTGGAGGCCCGCTGATTCTAATAACAAGAAACAACACACTTACAACACACTTCTAATAGCCATTCCTGGACCAATATAAATAAGTAAACTCATCCAATCCGCCTGTGCATCGTTCATGTTCTAATGGGAGATTCATTCTCATTTTGCACATATGGTGAGTAGTGGAGCGGGGCCCTTTCGTTTGCTACTTCGTCTGACATCCCACCGTGGCTCCACTCCTCACAGAATGTGCAAAGTGATCATGAATCTTCCGCTAGGAAACAGGAACTTCAAGATTCACAAGCATATTGTTTTTCCTTTTTGTGCTGCTTTCAGCCAACTTGAGCCGCGTTTCGAAGTGGGGGCCCACTGGATACAGCAACGGACCGCAGCTTTCCAAGTCGGGGTCAGTCAGTACTATGATGATATCTCAACGCTCTCGTTTTCCATGAATCATTTTTTTTTGAGAAAACTACGGCGCAGTCAGGGTTTGAGTTTGTAATTGCACTTGAGGCAAAAGGGCCGGTAATGCTGAATGTATATGACCTACGTTTAGGGTCCGGTGGGGTCGCATGGGGGTGTGTTGTATTGCCTGAAGTGCAATTACAATCTGTTTTTGTGACTGCGCCGAAGTTACCCCTTTGTTTTTGTTTCGTTTTAGCGCGCTTGTTTCTTTTTTGCAGTAGCAGTCGCTGACCTCCCTCTGTTTGTGGCCCTAACTCTCCGGAAAGGCGAGTTTCATCTGTCGAGGGTGGTGGTGGTTTAAGCTTTACACAGTGGGTGTCTCTGTTCCCGCTTCTTCTACATACACCTGTGTAGAAGCATTCTTTTTTGGAATTTGATATCCGATTTTTGGGTGCATGGCGAAGTGTTCCAATTTGGTGTATCTTTCTGTTTCTTCCTCATGCTTTCACTGTATTGTGCCGGACATTTTTCTCTTTTCTATATTTATTTACCAACGGAACCAATCTTCCTTGTCGTTGTAAGATTTGAGCACCTGGTTTTGCTGATTTACAAGGGCTTGATTTGAGATCGAAACATCACATGCTCGCAGATGTGGTTACTATCATAGGTACTCAGGATATTGTGTTCGGAGAAGTAGATAGGTAACACTTTGTGTCATATAATAAGCTCTCGATCAAAAACACATTTTAAAATTCAGAGAAAGAAAAGAATAGAAAACACAGTGCACCCAAATAGATAAATAGCAGTATTATTACGAAAGTGTTTCGAGCATCCCAAACGCAAAAGGTTCCCCACATAGGTTTTCCCGAAGAACTCTCAGTAGCTAGAGTGAAGAAGATGAACAAAGCGCCTATTTTGGCACTAATCTTTGAAATTTTGAAAATAAGTAAAAAATGGAATGTCTAGTAACAAGAAACAACACACTTCTAATATCCATTCCT